TTAATTACATCATACTTTTATTTATTTAATTACATCATTCTTTTATTAACATATTATTCTTTAATTACAATATTTATATGAATTTTAGGAGAGTATTTCCCAGTCTATACCTCAAGACGAAGATACTGATTGCAGGAGAATACTCTCACGAGCATTAGATATTCGTGAGTATTCTGGTCGGGTGAGGGGTAAGGGATTTGGGATCACTCCAACATCCTTGAAGAAAAAAATAAAGACAAAATCTCCAAGCAATAAAGAACTGCAGGAGAAGTTGGAAAAGTTACAATAAGAAGTCTATGAGCTGAGAAAGGAAAAGGAAATCGATCAAGCTACAGACTTTAAAGATACTAGTGACAAAGCTAGTATCAATGGTAACTTTGGACAAAATATTCCCGAGGTAATTATATACCATCTTTATAAATTATAAAACCATGTTTACTAACTATATAACCATGTTTATTAATTATACAACCATATTTATTAAATTATAGGGCATTTCCCGATGTCAACTCTATTTATCGACATTGACTTATCGGTTGGTTGTCAAGGGAAAAGTGTATAATATCTCGGGAGAAATGCTTCACCATAGACCGCTCCCAGAGGGATTTTTGAAAGTATCGATCGACGTTGTTTTAGAAGGGGGTGCGTTGTTACAACTACCTGACGATGTGGCGGATGCAACATTGGTGGCACATGCAATATGATCGTTTGTTGCATGGCCATCAAGCCTCGTTTGTGTAGATAATGAGGTATGCTTAAAATCGTTTACTATTAAAAAAAATTATGACAATTATACTTACATTTTGTTTACATGGTAATGTTAGACTCCCACAAAATCCATTCCAAAGATAAGGGGATTAGGCGGGATACCGAGTCAATTGCATCATTTGAGGTAACACAATTATATGACATTTATGCTATGAGAAATGCTAATTTGTGATTTTATACTTCCCTTAACTAATTATATGATAACTAGATTCCTGCTAAAGAGACTGGACAACTCAGTAGGGGTAAGGCGCCTGAAATTAGCAACATTTCCACACAAAAAAAGAATGTTGCTAAGAAGACTGTGGCACACAAAAAAACTACTTCTCAGTTCAGGTCGTGCCTTCGGACATATTTATGAATTACAGATATTCCGGATGGTGGTACCCGCCTTATACCTATGAGTGCAGATATCTTTGGTTTTGAATATCTTGAAGCAATTGGTAGAGAGGATATGGAGCAAGTTTTTAGGCATTTGGAATTAGACCTCGGTGTTATCGGTATATACATCAGGTATACTCCGATCAAATTTGTTTAATTAAATGAACAATTTAATCCCTCATTTAAATGAATATAGTATAATGTTAATCATGTTTTAATTTAAGGTTTATGTATGACAACATTGTGCGCCCGCGTGGATTAGAAGCAAGATTTGGCTTCTTAGCTCATAACACTGTCAATTCCGGGTTGATTGTAACGAGATCATATGATGTCATATCATATGTACTAGGTTTATTCGTGGCCAATAAAGATACTGAGAAGTTGTTCTTTTTGTCATATAATACTGACAATGGGTTAGATTTTCATCCTAACTTGATTTATTATAATTTTCCGTTTTTGGCCATTGTTTAATCTTTGTTTAATCTTACACTGGACACTGGTTATTGCTTGCGATTAATCCTATGAGAGAAACTGTGTATTATCTGGACTCTTTATATAATGATTGGTCAACATATCCAGATTTGAAACAGATGATTGACACGTAAGTGTTTCGCTCCCAAAGAGATATTCAAGTTTATGTTTATGTTTATGTTTATGTTTATGGTCAACATCTATGGATTTGTGTTTATGTTGATGATTATATGTGAGATTGTTCTAAACAGTCGTTTATATTTTATTGTAGCGTTCTACTTGCTTTTTGCTCCCAACGAGATATTCAAGTACCAAAAAGTAGAGTCAATAATGTTATGTGGATCAAAGTGGAGGTATATTTTCACAAAGAGATATTCAGTTTTGCTTACTTTAGTGATGATACTTGATAAAACAATTTAAGGGATATATCATGATATATATTCGTATTTTCTTTCCATGTGTAGTGTCCTCGCCAGCGTAATGGTATAGATTGTGGCTATTTTATGTTGAGGTTTATGAAAGAAACTATTCTTTTGGATCGATTAGAGATTCCATCCACGGTATGGATTTCTAACTTAGGAATTACATACTATTTTCATATTTTGTGTTTCTCATAAAATGACATACTGTTTTAACTAAATCACATACTATGTTATATTATTATATATGTAGTACTTTGACGAATTCAATTGTGCACATTACTCAAAAGATCAATTGGATGAACTTATGGAGGAATGATGTCAATTCATTATCGGGTTGAGAATTTTATAAGCTAAGGTATATTGTCTTATTTCCTTTGATGAGAACTTTCGAGTTTTGAGTATAAATTAAATTCGAATTAATAAAGTGCAACGTTAATATTATCATGTTATGAATTTTGATCATTTGGTTTTTTTTTTCCAGGTTTATAGGTACATGTGTAGAAGATAGAGCTAAGATATTCATGTTGTTGTTGTTTCATGAGAATTCTCGAAGATAGAAAGATGTATAGATGTAAATTTAATTTTGAATATTTTAGGCATTTTAACTTGTAGAATTTTAACTTGTATCATAAATTTTGTAATTGTTGTTGTCTATATCATCAATTTATATAATATATGTGCAATTTTTATATATGTATATTTTATTGGAATGAAGCTACCGAATATGGAGCATAAAAGATAATTATGAGAACCTGGATCAAAATATTGGAATGAAGCTACCAAATATTGGAATGAAGCTACAAAATATGATACAAATTCTAATAAAAATAGATAATTTATAAATAAAAAAATTGTAAACAATAGACAGCGCTTTAGGAGAAAAGCGCTGTAAAAACTAAAAAAAAAAGCGCTGCCTAAAGTCTGAAAGCGCTGTCTAAAGTGGGGGAATAGGCAGTGCTTTCAAAGGAAAGCGCTGTCTAAAGTCTATCTGGAAAAAATTACAAAGCGCTGTCTAAAGCCCAAGCGCTGCTAAATGGGTATATAAAAAAGCGCTGTCTAAAGTGGACATAAGGCAACGCTTTTACATTGAAAAAAGCGTTGTCTTTTCTTTTAGCAGCACTGCTTTAGACAGCGCTTTAAAGCGCTGTTAAAGGCCAAAAAAGCGTTGTCTTTTCCCTTTTTTGTAATAGTGATTGTTGTTATTGTTTTTATTGATTTTTTTGTTGTTGACATTTAATGTTTAAGGATTCTACTGATTTTGTTTTTATTATTGTTGATGAAGAAGATTTATAATTTATCAACAAATTTAATGCTTTGCAAATTAAAATGAAAAAAAATAGATCAATTTTTTTTTATAAATAGAACTTTACCCATCGGTTGTTGTTAGAATCTGAAGTAAAAAATAACGCAGTTTTGAAATTAAAGGAAAAACGTTGTTAGAGATCAAACTCATGACTAGTGCTACTTTACCTCTCGGTTTTTGAATAATCGAGAAAAAAAGTGACGAGTTTTCAATCTCGCCCAATCCATACCCCACTTATATTACCGAAATTATATCTTTTTCAAATTTGATGTTACAAATATTATTTGTAATAGGGGTTACTGTTCATGATATTGTTCATAAATATATCTTTTTATTTATAAAAAAAAACATTATTCACCTAATAAATACAATAAACAATATATATAAATATTTAATATTTATTTGATGTAGCAATAAATAGGGGTGTTCAAATCCAAACCAATCCAAATAAAAAACCGAAAACCGATTCAAAAAAACGAAAACCATAAAAAACCGAAAGTTATTGGTTGTGTTTGGATGTTATTTTATGAAAACCGATCGGTTCGGATTGGATTTCGGATGAATTTTTCAAAACCGATCCAAACCAAACCGAACCGCATAAATATATTTTGATACTTATTTACTTTTTATTAGTATGACATGTTATGTGAATTTATTATTAGATGATAATAATTTTTTTAATAATATTTATTAGTTTAGTATAATCTATTTATTTTTATTATTTCAAGCATAATCAATCACTCTCATTTTGTAATATTAACTTTTAATATAAAATATGTTATATATTATATTAAATCTATGATTTATTAGTAGTTTTATAATATTAATAAAAATATAATATGTAATTTGAATATCCAAAAAATGATCCAAATTAAACCGCATAAAATTGGATCGGATCAGATTAGATTTTTTTAAATATATCATCCAAAACCGAACCGAACCTTAAATGAATTAATCTTTAGATCGGATGAATTTTTATTTTAAAACCGATCCAAACCGAACCGCGGACACCCCTAACAATAAAGTTACGCGTATCATTGTTGTTATGTTAAATATGTCTTAGTATATATGTCACCCATAAGATAAATGACATAGATACACAACATTTGACATCTACACAGTATCATACCGTAAAATTTATTTATTTTATTAATTTATTATTTTTATGAAAATTGAAATTTGTGCCACACATAAAACGAAACCTAAAAAATATGGTGTAAAGCTACAGTGTAAAGTTTTGAGTGTCATCATAGCATGCCTCCATGGTGAATTTTTTCAATAATCGTATGAATAACTTTTTATGTAACAAAGAACATGTGTTCAAAGTAGACTCATTCCTCCTAAAATCAAGTCATACACAATAAGACCACGACTCATTCCTCCTAAAATCAAGTTTGATGCACCAAATAAACTCTGAAAAAGACAAACGATACAACATTGTAGTTTCCAATATAATTAACATGTGTTCAAAGCAGCCACAGATTTTTCCACACGAGGGTCCCATTTATGCTCTCCTTGCTCACTAAGCAAATTGACCTTCACATTATTATCTTGAGATCCTATATATACCTATTCAATCATCACATTTCATCCAACAACATTACAACTAAATCATTTCAGCTTTTTGCATAGACAACACCTCATCTTTCTTCTTTTCGATGGCTTTGATTTCATATTTCTTCAATTGTTTTGGTCTCTCCTCGACTTCATCATCTCAAGTTTCTAATAATGATGAAAAATCATCTCAAACAAAAACTTCACCTGCAGAAAAACCAAAGAGAATGGAAAAATCAAAAGGAGCTCCAATTGTAGTTTCTTATTTTCCTGTTAACTATAATCTTTCACGATTGTAGCATTAATGTGTAAAAGTGCATTCAACATTTATTTATTCTTTTGTGTTTTGTATTATAAGAAAATATTTGTGATTTGTAAAGAATCTGTATTGTAATCTCATATTATTTAACACAATTTGAAATTTTCTTTATTATTGTAGTAACTATTAATCTAAACTCCTCCAGCAAATACTCCTAAGAAGAGGTGTTTTGTGGAGGAGTATTGTAGACTTATATTTGAGAAGAAATATTAAAATAATAAGCAAGTGTGAGTAAGTGTGAAAATAGTCTTACATTGAATGAGAATGTGGTGACTTGAGAATATATAAGTGAGATAATCCACTCATATATTACCTTAAAATTTTAGGTGGACAAATGAATTGTCTTTAACAAAAGTCTTTAAATCAAAGAAGAGGTGTATCATAGTCCAAATTTACTCGTCTTATTTTCTATAGTCAATTGATTTTAAAAATTGTTTTTCTATAAATTTCTTTATTTGATCTACAATATAATATTTTTGGGTCTTCTAGTTGTTTAACTTTAAAAATATAATAATTTATTTTAAATAATTTGTATTTTTAAATAGCAAATATTTTTCTACTTTCATATACTTTCAATTGGTTTTTAATTATAAATAAATTAGATAGCACAATTGATAAGGAGGTGAAACTTACATCTATAAGGTTATGTGTTTGAATCGCACCTCCATAACTTTTAAAATATATTTTTTTATTAAAATTATTATTTTATGTAAAAAGTTGCCAAAAAATTCAAAAATAAATAAAATCCTTTTCAGTTTAAATATTTTTCAAATCAAATCTTGCACCGAGTCACAATTAAGGTCAGGTTCTTAATCTTATTGATCAAGATATAATCCGGTATTACTTTGTTTATATTTTTTCCCTTTTTTCCCTTTAACCTAATTTTCCAACTCTATAAATAGTACTCTATTTTCATAATTTTGGACATCCACAAATTTCACAACTTTGCAATTTCACTTTCACACACTTTTTTTTCAAAACCTCTTTCTTCTCTTTGGTCAATGATTTCCATACAAGGCTCTTCCTTTTATTTTCAACTTTTTTCAATTTTTATTTGTTTATTTTTTTAAACCATACGATGATTCTTGATGTTTGTCTTTTATTTAAAAATTATATATTTGTATAACAATTTTTCACTCATTCTCACTTTTATCACTATTCTTTTGCTCTTTCTTTTTTCAAAATCTTTTTTCAAAACTATTGGTGGTTTTATTATATTTTTGGCCAATGACTTTCGAATGAGGCCACTATTTTCATCTTTTTCTTAATTTTAATTTATTTGCATTTTAAACCATGTGAAGATATTACACGATGATTGTCTATATTTTAAAAAAATTACTTTCATACCAACAACTGACCAATTTCATAATTAACCGTATCATTTTATTTTATTTTTCATCAATTAATTTACAAAATAGTTCTAACATTGTTACTTTTTGTGATATACCAATATTGTTAATTTTTACTGACTTTTTTCATCTATTGATTTACTATTTCTTTACTAAATTTTATTAATTATTTTATCTAATAATTTTCAATTCTAACATTAAGTTCAACAAAAACTATTTTGTTTTCTTTTTCTGTTTGCAGTAACAACAAGTTTGAAAATCAATAAAGAAAAGAAGATGGAATCGAAAAAGATCATCAAAGAAAAAACGTGAAGGAAGAAGCACTAGTAGCTTGGGGAAGGTTTCACAACTCAGAATTCAGCAACTTCGAAATCTATTTTCAAGCCTTTTTCAATCCATTTTCCCCTCAATTCACCTTCTTTGATCTTCCCTGAAGCTAACCATATAGTTACATTCAAGAATCGTGCCCTATACTGTTCCATAGAAGTCCAGTTTCAGAGCTCTGCAACTCAACTTCAATAGGTAGATTCCTTCATCAATTCTTCAAAACTCTGATATCATTATGTTGCTCTCATTGCCCTGGTTCTAGTCGCAACACTTACATTTAACTGGAAACATGTTTTGACCATGAATTTTCAAATCCCTTTTCAAAATTTTCCTTCCAATTGCTCGAGCTACAGTTTATATAAATTTGGCACGAGGGTGTGGTTGTTTTCGTCTTGAAGAGACGAAGCGATTGGCATAGGTATGAGCTTCTGATTTTACAGTTTGAGAGACCTGCAAATCACGTTGGCTGGAGGTTAAAGATGACCTTAGTGTCATCTTCCAACCAATGATGGCACGCCACTTGTTATTTTCAATAATCTGATTTATTAATGATTTTGTACATTATTCACTAATGACCATGATATGCACAGCGCGCCAGATCCCTTGGATTTGATTACTAACGCGTTTTGACTCTCATCCAATGGTCCACATATTTTACTTTTATTTTCTTTTTTCTGATTTTTTTATTTTAATTGTTTTGAATTTCAAAAAATCATAGAAAATTCATTTTTAGTCCAAAAAATCTGAAACAATTATGAAAAATATTTTTGATTATTCTCTTTCTGATTTTTATTTTTTTACAATTTAATTTTTTGTTTTGGTATTTTTTATAAATTTCACACTTATTTGATTTGTTTAAAATATTTAAAAATACTTTTATACATTTTTAAATTCTGAAAAAATTATGAAATGATCCAATGATATTGTGACAAATATTGGTGACCTTATTTTATTTTTGTTTCTGACTTTACTATTTTTTACTATTTTTGTTTATTTTACCCATTTATTTTAATTTTTAAAAATAGTTTCTGACTTTTAAAAATTACCAAAATTTTTACAAAATTACTTGGCCTCTTTTCTGATTTTTCTATGGTCTTATTTTTCATTTCTTGATTAATTTGAACATAATTGATATTTTCCTCATTATTTTCCATTTTTTAAACATTTTTAAACCCTTTAATGTATATATTAAATATGATATTATTTTGTGATTATTTTCTGGCTGTCTTGAGTTTATTTTTTTATCATGGCTTTATTAACATCATTGGATTTTAGTTGTTGAGTTCAAATCCACCAAAATGGATGAATGATTTTAATAATAGCTTGATTAAATTTTTAATTCAAAAGTGGTTTATTCATCTTTTTGCCCTAATCCTCTTCATCTCATCCCCTTCTCATTGCACTAAATGTTGTTGGAGCATGATCTCAATATCATGTCTCAAAACAAATGGTGCATAGATTGCTATTGACCAGCCTCAAAATAGGTGCGACTTCTATATAAGTCCACTTACGATTGCTTAACATAGCGCTAAATTTTGTCCCGATTCGAATAAATGATCATTCGTGGCCCAAACTTATGATTGTAAGCCCAAGTATTTTAATTTGATCTCTTTGATCCAATAACCTTGAGATTCATTGTGTGGAGGGTTTTGTTCTATCAATCCTGTAATGGATCTACAACACTTTGGTCAACGCGGATCACTTAAACATCGTTGATAATTAAATGGTACTTATGAGAATTCCAAATGGATGATATACTTGACAAAAAGCAAATGCAACTTGTTGTGTGGATGCTTTGGTTCTACCAATCCTCTAATGAGTTCCAAATGCAAGTTTCAAGATGGTCATCCAACTAACCACTAATTATTGACTTGTTTATCTTATGCTTTTATTCTTTTTATGCTTTATGTACTATTTATTTTTTTAGCATTTTACATTTAATGCCATTTTCATCTTTGCTCATTTGAGAATTTATTTTATTGTCATTTTTACTTTCCTCACTTGAGCTTTTATTTTCTTTTCTTAATATACTTAATAATCAACATAAACCCTAAAAAACTCTTAATGGTACTTGGACTATTTGGTTACTATCCTTGGCATTATGGAGCATGGGACTATTTCTTGGACTTAAGATTAGAAACCTTGGCCTATCTTGGAGACCTTGTGATTTTATCTGATTATTTTGTCTGAAGTTCTTGAGGTTTAACTCAAGACATTGGGTTGCTTGTTTGTTTTTGTGTGCAGGTTTTTATGATTACATTCTCTGTTCGTAATCTGGAACTCACCCGTATACAGTCGTTACTCTGCCCAATTTTTGTGAAGACTTAATACACTTGAAGAGGTCTAGTATCTTTTCTTGCTTGGTTTCAATCCAAAGAATGGGAATTCTACCTTGGCTCATAATGTCAAGCTTTGGCTTCTTGTTGGTTAGATGGTTCTTGTCCCTAGCTTTTACCTTATTCTTTAGGATAGCCTCTTCTTCTCCTCCCATCTTCTTTAATTTCAAAATCTTCTTCCTCCTTTTCAAAACTCTTCTTGTTTCTAAACTTGAACCACTTTAATAATAAACTTGGACCTAGGTCCATGCATTTTCAAAATCTATTCATAAATAAACTTTAATCAACTTAATAATACCTTGACATTTTTTTGTGAGAAGACTAAAAGTCAATCAATCTCATTTCAAACCATTTTTGCCACTTTGGTTTTTATCTTTAAACTTTTCTCAAAAGGTTGGACTCTTGTCAGTCCTTGTAGTGATGCAAACAACTATACTTCTATAACATGTAGTGAAGTAAGATATTTTCCACTTGGGTGTTGAGTGAGGCATTGTTGATTTTAGAATCCAAGCCATATCCTCCACTTTAAGATGATGCAAATTCTTCTTTCTCATGATTGTGGGTAGTAAGTATGTTTTCTACACAGACAATGAAGATGATGTCTTATCTCTTAAAATCAACCAACACACTTGTGTTTCAAATTTTTAAAAGAGGAACTACGTGTACCCTGATCCCCTATTGCACGAAAGGTGGTAAGTAGGCACTAAAGGTTCGCAACCGCGGCGGGTGCAAAAATCATAAAAAATATTTCTCTTCTCACCTCCACCATCCATTTTATATACAACACATTTTTATAGCCAAAATATATAGATTTTTCAAAGAGGTTCATGCAGAGTACCGTAGATGTTTAGGGTGCTAATACCTTCCCTTTTCATAACCAACCCTCTTACCTTGAATATTTCCCCCTCTTTTTGGGTTATTCGCTCTTTTCCCATTCCTTTGGAAACAATAAAGCGCGGTGGCGATTT